AAAAAATTTTAATATAATTTTTAAAAATGCTTTTATTTACTAACATACGCGATACAAATCATTGAATTTTGAGACTCATTTTCTTAGCATAATTTTGATAAAACTAACTACGCAACATTTCAGATTTTAAGATTTTTCCAGTTATCTTAAGTAAAGAAAGTGGAGATGATTCTGTTGCGTTAGACATGAACGCTAGACATAAAAATATTACTTTATGTATTTTTTCACTTTTGAAATTTATAGAAGACATGTAACGTTCCCATGTTAGTTTTAATGTATATTCATCTAGTATCCTATAAAATGTTTTGCTATTCCAGCCGGGCCATCTCTATTGACAATCTCTACTTAAACAATGTTAAATTAAAATAGCCCTTTTGGGCGATTATTAAAATCAGAACCATTACAGATTATTTATATAATCAAAATGCTTAATTCCCTTTTATAAGAAAGTAAATAGCGCATATGGCTACTATTAAAATCAACTCAAAGAGTAAAGACGCGAAAATTAAAGACTTAAATGGACCTTTAAAGTGAAAGTCTTGGCGCTATTGTATTTAAGATTAAATATATATGTTCATTTTATTAACCTAACTGATATGATTTTGAATATTGTATGTACAATTGGTAACACCGCCAAAATAAAGGACTCCTTATTCCAAAACGGATTGTAAAAGGGGCTCAAAATGAATTTTTTCCCTGACGTCTGTATATATGTACGTATGAATACATCTCCCATAACCTCAAAGACGATCAACTGTAGAAAGTTGAATTGTACATGGGACTATTATAACATATAGTTGTGTACCTCTCTTTTTACTGTGAGCGGCAGTACCAAAAGTGGGTACATTATATATATAGCTGTAATGACGCTATTTCGCTTTGCTGTATACGTACAGCAACAGTATCAAAATTGTAAATGTTCTTGAATAGGTTCGACTAGAGTGCCAAGTAAACTGTGGCCACAAATTTAAATTGAAATAAAAATGGATATAATGACATTTTAGATTCATAGGTTTAATAAAAATTTTAAGAAGCTAAATTTATTAGAAAAAAAATAATATTTACTGTTTGGGACCTCATTTACAGCTTTTAAATATTTCAAAGCTGATTTCTAATACACATGCAAAATTATTTCTGTTAACTTGCCTGCTGTGCTTAATATTTCTATATATTTTTTAATATCAATAATATTTAATATTACTTTGCTCCCAAGTTTCCTGGTCATTTACCTTTTCAATATTTTAGTGCACTGCGCAATCAGAATTCTTCTTCAATATGAATCTACATTCTAAGCTACCTAGTGCTACGCCATCAACACTGCTACTTCTTTTTTCGGTTTTTATTACACACACACATACTCATGCATATATATAAACCATCCCACTTACCCGGGTTAAAGTACTTATACGGCCTGCCTTTATTTTCGCAATCGGTGATTGTAGTCATATACTTACAATTACAGAAGCGTTTTAAGACGAAAATATTCACCTTTTGGCAATGTCAAACTAAAAAAAAAAATAATTTAGACAAATCACGAAGTCTATTTTTTAATGCTTTCTACCATTCCTATACTTATTTTTTGAAAGTTTTAAACTCGCAATGAAAAAATATAATTATAAGAATTTTGACTCCCGTGAGACAAAAATTGGTTGGGATATTTCAAAATTTGCAATTTTTAAAATTGTTTTCATCTTGCCTTGAGGGATCATTAAGTTAGAATAATTCGAGGAAATAAGTTTAAATGAAGTTCAGCAGAAAATGTTTATAAATTAATGGACCCTACAAGGAAGTTATGTTGTGTTCAATTCAGATTTTTTTAAATAGTAAAAGATGTTTCTACCACATTTATTAAGTACCTAACGCGGGATTTTTTGGTTTCTTGGCAAATCTTTTCTAAACAACAGATTGTTTTCCTTGTCTTAGAAATCTTTTCGACAGCGGAGTTGTTATATTATTATTTGTTGAAGACTCAAGATAGATTTCAATTTGTATTCGCAGTCTTTGTCTTTGCTAAGCTCTTTAATAACAGGTCTTTGAAGATTACTTGAAGCAGCAGCTAATACTAAAATTAATTAATCCCTTATTCTTTCATGAAGTATTGTTAAAAATATCTCTTAATTTTTCAAATAGAGTTTAGGTGATTGTTTGTGAATTAAACATTTTCTCCCTTATTCCCTTAATTGGTACCTGCAAAAGAACATCGAACGTTTAAATGCACAGTGTGCCGCTCCTACTTGGAACTTCGAGTTTTACTTGGATGAGTGAGCAATTACGCACATTCCCAGTACGTTTCAGCGAGAGGAAAACGTTTCATCAACTATATCTTACATTTTCCTCTTGTTCCACTAACGTGGGTGGTGGCTCGTATCATTGACTGATGCGTGTGGAAGACGTAGGCAGCATTCCAAAATTAGCTTTACACAACAGCTTAAATAGCCGCTGAAGCGAGTTGCCACTGATTATCCTTTATAGAAAATGTTTAGGTGATAAACAGTCTTTATTCTTTTCAGCGTTTCTGTAAGCTTAATATCAGGAAGAAGAGCCTGAAAGAATTCAGTTTGGCTGATTTTCATATAAAGCTCCAGCTTCACTGTTCATCATTGTTGCAGAAAGAAAAACATTTTCCAACGATATCATTTCTGATATCTTTCGAAAATTTCATATTGCTAAATTTAAACAAGTAATTTATTTTTCAGTGTCATTTGCTCTTTTTAGCTGAAATTAAATTCACTCATACCCACAAGAAATTAAATCCGCTTATGCCAGAAAGTTTCCCTTAGATTCCAGACATTTTAGATTCATAGGTTTAATAAAAATTTCAAGAAGCTAAATTTATTAGAAAAAAATGAATATTTACTGTTTGGGACCTCATTTACAGCTTTTAAATATTTCAAAGCTGATTTCTAATACACATGCAAAATTATTTCTGTTAACTTCCCTGCTGTGTTTAATATTTCTAGATATTTTTTAATATCTAGAAATATTAAACTAATTTATATATATTTAAATTATATATAAAGTCAACCTTTGACTCTGAGGTGTATCGTATTATAATTTAAATTCATACATTAAAACATTTCACAAGCCTGAAACTAGAAATCCTTTTGGACACATCTCTATTTTTAAAGTTGACTTTTAACGCAACTAAAAAGGGGCATTTACAAGAAACCTGTACTATATCAAATGTATGATATCTTCCTGACCAGTAATATATTTCTATCTCTGCGGCAGGTTGGAATTAGCAAGTTTCACATTATAACGAATTTTTGAATGTATATACTATGAAGTCTTCATTGAAATTAAGAAATTATTTTTTTCTTGATTAAGGCTTCACATTTTTATATTTTTCATTAACCACAGTATTTTCAGTCAAAGCAATTTTCTCTTGTGTCTGTCATTATTCAATTAAACTATTGTGCATTAAAAAATAGTATTTGGTAAAGATTATTTTTCCCTCCTGAAGTTTGGTCAGCAACGCGTGTCTTGAAATCAGTGCAGGAATTTCACTGTGCACTTTATATTCGAAGTATTCGAATTTGTCATTGTTTTCTTTTATGCTTGTTTCACTGGTTACAGGAAGAGAAGAAAATCCAATAAAACTAGAAAAAGAACTATATTTAAACATTTTTGCGGAAGAATCACTAAAAATTTTCCGCATTATTTCACAAATTAAATTCAGTTGTAGGTCCTTGAGTATCATGCGAACATTTTTTATCACAGTTGCTACGCTACACTTTATTTGGTTGACATAGATGCTGTATTTTTTAGTATTTAGTAACTGTGCAGTGTTCTCAAAATATATACGTTCTTTAAATGATCATAACATCAGTGTTTATTAACACATGGTTTATTTTTCAAGATTTCTAATCTCCGGAAAATATCGATGCGTCTTTTTTAATGCAGCGTCAAGTATTATTTTTTGGAAACTGTTTCATCCTTTACACCAGAGTTTCCCAAATAGCATTCCTCGGAACACTGTTGTTCTGCAAACTGTCACTGAGTGTTTCGAAAAAAGTTATAAAACTGGGTTTAGAGAAGAATGAAAAATTATCTGCTTTTATGAATTTAACGAAATTTAAAGCAACTCTTAAAAGAAAGTTAAAAAGAAAACCAAATAAAAGTGGTTTAAATCGCACACGTTATAAACTTAGTAATGCAGGATGACACTGATTGGCTTACTTTGCCAACGAAATACATGCAGAATTTAGCTGCAGAATTCTAACATGATGTCTAACATTAAAAGATTTTGTAATTAGAGGTCTTAAGCACATCAGTTTTTGAAAGCTTAAAATGCATAATTGTTTTAAATATTGTTTGTTTCATTTAATTAGTTTTATGTGCCATTTTTTGTAATATTAAAAATTGGAAAACGTCTCTGTTATAGGTATGATAACTGAAATAAATCTTTTTTGTTTATTTAATATATTTATGTTATAGTTTATTACTACTAAAATCTAAGATTTACTGTACTGTTCTTTAAAAAGTTTAGAGCTTAAAAAGTGTTCCAGGAGAAGAAAGTTTGTCATATGTTTGATATACACAATTGAATTTGTCGTTAGCGGAACTCCGAGAAGAAACCTTTTCTCTTTATCAAGTAGTGTTAAAAAATAGGAGTGTATAATGGTAATCGGTCTTATAAATGGTAATCGATCTTGCCAAGTACCATTTGTAAAACTGTGCTTTTCGTTAAAGATTATCTTCACTAACAGCATGGATTATTCTTAGTATTTAATTTTTCCAATGGTAGCACATTAAAATGCAACAGTCACGAGTTTTTGAAATTCTTAAATCATAACCTGTTTGCTTCGCTGATTTTCTTCATTTCGGAAGATATGTTTCCATAAGCTTTTCTCGCGTTGATGGGTTTATTGATATTCGTGGCCTTTTAGAATATTTCTGTGGACTTCGTAAAATGTATGTGTGTAAAAAAAATCAGTAATTTCTTATGATAACTAACTATTTTAGCCAGTTGGTATTAAAAAAGCCCTCTTTTTTTTTAGAGTTCTATATGCTTTATACTTCCATTTGAAGTATGATCTGTTCTTTCGAAAACTATTCCATCTGCTTCAGACTTGTCTCAAATCAAGTGATTAAAGGTCGAGTAAGTGAGTCTATTTGAAACTCTCTCCTGAACTGTCTTTGATCTTTAAAGATGCTTTCAATTTTCCAGTAGTTCTTTAGGAGAAATATTCTTTATAAAAACTTAATTATAACGCCATTATTTAAAATTTTTGAAATCTGCTTGAAAGAAAAGAATATTATCAGCTATTAAAGTTCATATAATCTATTTTGAGACACCGTATATTAGCAATTACATTATAACTAGCCTAAATGTAAAACATTTTTTTAATAAGACTTTGCTTAAAAGTGCTATTTTTTTAATTTCGTTTCAATCTCTGCTATAAAATAATGATGAATCTGAGTGTAAGTACTATGTGTGTTTCTCGCAAAGGAAGAACGACGGCACCTACAGCCACCAAATTTTGAACACTCGGTGTCTTCCATTGTTACATGTGAACTTCGTAGCTGGAATTTTGAATTTTTATATTTATTTCATATTTTGTAAGCATTTGATAAATTTTTGATTAACAGATTCGGCGACTTAAAAGTGACCAGTGGCAATATTGTTCGAAATAAAACATCACCTGCACGCCAGACTTACTATTCGGCGAAATAAATAGTTATCATTTAATTTTAATCAACAAATTCTGCTATTTAAAAGCAATGTATTGCAACTTCGTTATGTGCCAGCATGTTGCAATTCACTAAAGCATAAGGTACTTAACTTCCAAATTTAATCTTTTGTTACTGAATAACAAACTGATTTAAAAGTCGTAAACGTAGATCTTTTTCTTCTTTTTATGTAGATCTTTTTTTTTTTTCTTTTTATGTAGATCTTTTTCTTTTTTTATTATAACTGTTTTTAGACAGCTGGTGTTAAAAACATTCTTTTTTTCACAGAGATGATATTTAATATTGGAATATCAAATTCTATATTGCCAAATTAGAAATGAGTTATTTAATTGAATTATTGATATACGTTGTATGACTGCGAAATTAGAAATGTTACACACTTAAAAAAGTATAGTGTAATTATAGAAATGGTAAAATTGGATATATATAAACCCGTCGAAATTTTGATTATGAATAATTGATTTATTGTAATACCTTCTCACTTTCAACAGGAAAGTCTACCAGATGCCTGTAAATTCCACACCTGCGGACAAATTTCTAAATTTATATCCTTTGTTATGGTGTATCAGGTATTCTAGACAGTCGCTAGACAATTTGCCTGTGGTCAGAATATTTTTACTTGCATCTGTTCTAAGTCTCATGACAGCTGCAGTCTGCTTTCAGTGCAACCGTAGTTTTCTTTTCTGATTTTAGAGTGTTTATGATTTGGAAAGATGAAGTCATGTCCAAATGTTAAGCCAGTATTTTGAATAAATAACTCAGACAGAGCAAACATTTTCTTGAAAACAATTTAAATAAAGACTATGTGGATGATTTAAATACCTGTTATAATTAATTTATGATTTAAAATTATTTTTTATTATTATTAAAGTTTATATTAACCTTTTAGATGATTTAAAGCAAAGTAGTTCTCCTAATAAGAAGGGAAACGTGGGTGTTTTTCAAAATCTAATAATGATTTTTTTCTAAACTTTATTTTCGTCATCTATTTATAATTATATAAATTCTTAATATCAGAAAAGAATAAGTAATAAAGTAAGAGAAAATAATTCAGAAATAATTAACATAATTAAGTAAAAGCAGTGCATAATTTTAGCTCTTTTATACCTATATATTTATTAGTTATTTTATTGAATATAAAAATCCTATAGTAGTAAAGAAATCATTTGCAACGGTTATAAGGGAAAGGAGAACAGGTATCCTCCGTTTGACGTAAGTTTGCTTTACATCACTCAGTAAAGCAATGATAGACTTTACGAGAGCAAGATTACGAAAGAAGCAGAAGAAAGTTTTTCTCTTTACGAAAAAACGGAAATATCGTTCACTGTTTGGTTTTAACATCCCAGTTACTTTCTATCCCGCATTCAATTTCTGAGCAACATGATAACACTTTCATTATTTAATAAAGCAACTAAAATCAAACCATATTTGCCCAACAGCGGCCGAGGGATGAAATCGCTGAAACTGATAGTTCAACCCTGGCTACAAATTCTGGCGAATAGCCTGGAGTAGCGTAACTGCGAGACAGTTCCTCTTAAAAAAATTCTTCCTAAAATTATCATCTCCTTAGACAGATGCTTTGCTGGAACACACATAATCCGAGCTATATTCCATCTTTCTGCAGGGCGGCATTTCTTTGTTCTAGTGTTAGGACGAATCTTTCTAATTTTTTGCAGCTTTTAAAACTTTCTTATTGTGTTTCTTTGGAAAGGAAACTAAGATGAGGGGTTAATTATCCTACCTGGCAACACTGAATCTAGGCAGAAACTGTCTATTCTGTAAAAAAGTGAAAGGGCGAATAGTAGCTCATTAACAGGCAGCAGGGAATTATTGTTCTTCCATACCGATGAAGTTTTAATGTTTGTTGTTTTGTTCAAGACTATCAATTAAGTGAAGGCTGATACAGTGATTCAAGGCCTTTCCTGTAACTACAGAATCATAGTTATTGCTGCAATTTATGTTATTTGATTGATGTTGTGGTAATTTAGTAATTTTGTATGCTATTTAGCGGTGATAGCTGTCGGAACGATTACCTCCCAATCAAAATCCGAGTTTAAAGATCTAAATATCATTCGGAAATGCTGTTTTTCTTGTATTCTTCCTTTGCACATATGAAATCAACTCACGAAAATGGCATGGTCGGTTGATCATGCGAACTGCAATGCTAGCCACTTAAAAGCTTTTATTGGATCAATGAATCTTATTATGAGCCTATTTATCATTGGCATGTTTTAGAGGGGGCATAAAATCTGAAATACTTTGTTTTTGGCTCTCTTTTTATGCAATGTGTGTAAACAGTCAACAGTCAAAATAATCATGCATTTCTCATCTTGTCAGAATAAATATAGGACTCTCCAATATATTTGTAAAGGTGTGCTTAGCAGTTCATATGGTTAAGGTCTTCTATAATCGCGTTGTCATCGTAAATTGAATTAGATGGTAGATTCTTAGTTCAAGTTTTACTTAGATGCTTAGTTCAAGTTTACTTAGATTCCAATAAGTATGGATTAAAAATAACCTACAAATCTTTGACAGAAAGTATATAAAGCAAACTAATATAATAACTCTTTATAAACGCCCTTTAAAGTAATATTTGTAATTTCTGTCAAAAGTATTTTCTTGTAATTTGTATTAGTTAACAGCAGTTCAAGAAATTGCTTTGTTGACAATTTTTCAAATAAACATTTTAGTGATTATAGAGTACTTACTTCATACGCGTAGGTCTTCAAAACCTTACCATTTCTAAACCTTGCTGTGATCATCCTTCATAAAATGTTATTGCTCATTTGCACTCTGCTCATACTTTCTTATGTACGATATTGCCAGCTACGTTTAGTTACGTTTCAATGTCTAGTTTCTTGACATTTAAATAGTTTTTGATATTTACCGTACTACAGTTGCTACTGTGATTATAATCTTTATAAAATATTATTCATTTACATTCTTATCATTATGTGTATTACCAGCTACGTTTTAGTCCTGGAACTGGGCATTTAAATAGCCCGGGATGTTTACCGCTTTTAAGCGTTTTATAAGAATAGTCCAAAGTTCAACCTATATTTGGATTGGTTTAATTTAATTCATTGTACGTATTGTAAGAATTCTGTGCTCTGTGAATGACAATGAATTATTCGCAGTGTAAAATGATCCAGAATTGGCGAGACATTTGGAATCGAACTCGGGACTCATAATTCGAAAGTGCACATCCGTATCGCAACCGAGGAAGGGGCCTGCAGAAAACCTCTCTTGTTAATATTTTTTGTTGCGTCATCTGACCTTTGCTGTTGAAAAATATTCAGTTAACTCTATAAAATAATTAGTATTCACATCATGGATTGCTTCTGAAAATTTCCAACACAAAATACAAATAATTTGTGAGAATATCATTATATAGTTGAAAGGATTAGAAATGCATACTGTTTACCGCGGGTGACTGAGAAAGAAGTACGAAGTAAACAACGGTTTTAAAGATTCAACGCAACAAAGCAGTAGGTGCTCATTGGTCTGTACGTGATGGCCCTATTTCGGTTGCGATATCAATGTGCACTTTAGAATTATGCATCCGGGGGGGAGAAGCTGGATCTGAGGTGTTTGGCCAAACTGCATATGCGATTGTATCGAAACCATTTTAGATATCAAGCAGTTATTGTTACTATTTAAGATGGGAATAAGAGACTGTAGGGTGTTGAACCCTTTCTAGCCTTTCAGTAATTCTGTTTATAAGTTGTGGAATTTATTGCACTAGTTCTCTGTTCTCTTATTTTTTCAAGTTTAACAAAGGTTTCCTGGTGCTGTTGAATCCCATGCCCTCTATTCCCTTTTCTTAATGCCACTGTTTGAACAGTTTGTCTGTTTACATATTTCATTACATTTTTTAGCTTGGGTAATTCGCCTAACAGGTTTAATAGTCTATCGCAACCGATGCGTTCGTAGTTTAATAAGTTGATACAGTACAGTAGAAGCTGATTTTAATATCATGTCTGCATGCATTTGTTCAAATAATATTACATTTATGCGTGACAAAGCAGTAAAGCATAATATATTGCATTTATTATAAGAAATTACGTCAAATGTTGCAAGTATAGTATAACATAATGCAAGTGACCTCAATAATATTACAATACATATTACTTACACAGGTGATAGTTACAGCATAACTTAACGTACAATTGGCTCTGTACTTGATGTAAGCTAATAACTGTTATATTCACATATGTTAACATTTTATAACACACTATCATTTTTTTTAATTAAGTCAAAATTTTAAAAAGGAAGTAAGAACTTAAATTAAAATGCGGAAAATAAAATAACAAATAATAATCAAATCTGTAATTTAATCCTACTCAGATGTAAAAGTACTTGCCAGATACAGAGAGATCATATTCAGTTTAGTTTGTTGCTGATGAAGTCA